ATCCAGCTCTTACAGCAAGGCTTAAGATGGGCTTCCCTTTCCTGGCAGTTTAAGATTTAGCTCATTTAGTTTCGTTATGATTTCTGAAGTTGATAATGATGAAGTTGAATTTTTGCAGCCATTCGAATTCGGGATGGCCAATGCATTTTTTATTGTTTCAATACATTTCCTCTACATAGAAAGCCGTCGCAGTTTATTGCACAAAAGTAGTTCAGAATCTTTAGTTTTTAAGGAATTCTTTAAATTGGCGATAATAGAGTGCTTTTGCCAAGATGTTGTTAAGAATCTTAACCACCATCTGGTGTAACCTAAACAGAAATCAGTAAATGATATAACTTATCGTTTAGGGAGAAAGACTAGATGCCTTAAGTGTGTCCTTATTCGCAAAATGGTTTATTGTAACTGAACCACTGAACACGGCCTCCTGCATACCTTCACATGGGTGTGTGTAAATTGTTATCCAAAATAACTTTTTTCGGGTTAAATGAGATTTTACAATGACAAAATGCAGTTAAGAATATTTTTGTGACATTTTCTTCTGTTTACAATATCAGCTTGGGTGTGGTTTCATTTGTATAGGAATTTCTAGAACGGCTTATTTATGCCATGGAAAGTGCAAAGCGCTCAAAGCTGATATTGTGAACATAGAAAAATTTTAAAAAAAAAATCGCTCAAAACTCCCTACAGTATCGAAAAATTTTTTTCGAAGTTAATTTTTCTACCAAAATCACTTTTTATACATTTTATTGTAGGGGGGTAATATGTGCATGTATGTTACCTTATTAAAGAAGGTTCTTTTGAAATTCAGCTTTGTACAAAGTTCCGTTGACTGCTCACTAAAGCTCTTATAGAATTAAAAAAACAATACTATATCAATTTTTATTTTAAAATTATATATGAAATTCTTGCTGATTTTTAATTAAATTTTCTCAGATTCGCAAATCAAACCGCCTATGTATTACTCTACGGCATGGTTGGCTGTGTCTTCTCAATGACTTATGCCTACTTTAATGGCACAATCACAACAATAGAGAAACGCTTTAAAATACCATCAAAGAATACAGGTATTATATCAGTGGGAAATGATATCAGTCAAATGATGGTCTCAGCTGTACTCAGTTACTATGCGGGTAAAGGGCACAGACCACGTTGGATCGGCTTTGGTAATAAATAAATAAAAAAACATTATTTTAGTTCCTGACTTGGTCTAAATGGTACTATTTTCGCTCCTCTATTTGCAGGCTTACTAACAATTGTGATTT